ACGACTGGCAGGAAGATATGCAGGCCTTCAACTTTTTGCGGACCTATCTCCAGCTACGCTAGCAAAGCGAAGATCCTTTGGTACCATCACCAGGGCGCTAAGAGAGGCACAAATGCCTTACAAATGGGGATTTCCCACCCGCCTCATCATCCACAAGAATGGATCAGACAGGATTGCCGCATTGCCAGAAGAAGGACAGAAAATACTGACACAATGAAACATTCCGCTCCAAGCAAGTATTCCGCCAGCCGGGGACCGGGAGCCCTCGGCTACCAGAATTACAGGGGACTGGCAAAAAGTGTCATCCGCCAAGTGAATCGCCACCTTGGTACTATCAAACAGCAATCCTGCGCACCTCCAGGAGCTACATGCTGCCACGGAATGGGTGTAGTATTACCTCTCTTTACAAACTGATAATCTCATTTTCTCTTTCACCTGCTAAGTTCTCTAAAAAATACAACATAATTTTTTTTTTTTATTAAAAATAAATAAATAAATAATAAATAAAAAAACCATAAAAAAAAACCCCAAAAACCCCACTAACTCAGAAGTTACAATACCGTTGTGTCAAGGAGGCCGTAATAGGCGAGACTCCGTGCGAAGGCCTTTGCCCGCACATCTCTTTGTTACCCTATTACCCACAACCTCACCAGGCTCAAAATAGAGCCACTGCGGTGTGATACGTTCACACTGTCAAATTGTTTTTGTCCCTGGTTTGTACTCAGATGCCTCGGCTGAGGTTATCCAGATTTTGGGGACACCTGTACATAGTTCATTTTTGGTTTAACCCTTTTACTTTTTTTTACTTTTCTTATCCATTTCTTTTTATTAAGTATAATGTCTATCTATGGCTGGTACGCAATGTCTACAAATATGTCCTATGTGGGAGGTAGGCTGCACATAGGAAAATGGATAATGAATGTTTTTCTATATATACCACGGGCTGTTATTTCCCTAGTCTCAGCTTTCAAAACTTCCCAGAGCAATGGTGCTTAACATTTTCTTAACACGAAAGGGTTGATATTCACCACACAAGAGACGCCTGGCACTACAGGAAGCAAAAAGGGCACACGCTCACATAGCATATTACCAGGAAACACATTTTAAATGGGGCCACAGACCTAAATTCAATTCCCCGCAATTCCCGGTAGACTTCCACACTTGCTACTCTAAAAAGAAAAGGGGAGTCTCAATCCTAGTTAGCAAAGAAGTTGCCTTCACGTTGGTGGCAAAACACGCTGATAAGAATGGCAGATATTTGATAATCCAATGCATTATTAACAACGCACAGTTCACGCTAGTTAATATATATGGACCACACACTGATTAGCCCGCCTTCATAGACACAATTTTTCAAAAGATAGACAAATCTGGGGGGAGTGATCATGGGAGGGGACACAAATTTTATTCTAGATGATCAGTTGGACGTTATGTCCTCAGGGACAGTAGCTCAAATCACGGCGACACACAGAGGTTCCACAACACGAAAACTGAACCAATCCCTCTTAACCCATGGATATATAGACCCATGGAGGGTGACACACCCAATGGGGAGGGACTACTCATTCCACTCGCTTGCACACAACTCCTACTCACGTATAGACAGATTCTTTATACACAGCTCGATGATATTGAGAGTACAGGAGACGGGGTAGGCTTGATCTCATGGTCTGATAATGCGCCAGTGATGCTCCAATTGGGAGAACAATTCCCCAATAAAGGTAGGGGCTCTTGGCGCATGAACGAACACCTGCTCACTAATCCACACATACTTGCAGATATCCGGGATGAACTAAACCTATACTTTAGCACTAACCAGGTACCAGGAACCAAGCTGGACTCGCTCTGGCTGGCTCACAAGGCCTACATTAGAGGGGTTTTGATTAAACACGCTAGTTATGCTAAAGCACAAAGGCTTAAAACGTATTTGGACCTTACCAAAAAACTGACGGAAATATCCGCATTAAACAAAGCAGATCCATCCCCCCAACAAGTGAAGGAGCTCAAACATATACAGCGCCAACTAGGAGAAATAGAACTGGCTAAAACAAACTTCATACTCCGCAGATTTAAACAGCGCTTCTTTGAACAGGGTAATAGAGCTGGAGCTCTTCTAGCCTCACAATTAAAAAAAAAAGAGCATTAGCCACTAAGATTACATATATACACACAACAAGAGGAGACAGGATATTAAACCCAGACGCAATCGTGCAAGAATTCTCCAAATACTACAGTTCACTGTATAACCTTGGGGATGACCCCTCGTCCCAACCCAGAATGAGATCAACACATTCCTAGATAAGTTCCACCTGCCCAGACTACAAGAAACAGACACACAGACACTCCTTATGCCTATCACACTCGAGGAAATACAGACCCATATTAAGGCCTTACCCACAGCAAAAAGCCTGGGACCAGATAGCCTCTCAGCTACCTATTACAAGACGTTCCACAGCCAATTGAGCTCTCACCTACTGACCCTGTTCAATGACAGTTTCCAAAAAGGTACCCTTCCTAGGGAAATGCTCCTAGCCCATATATCTACTCTACCAAAGCCGGGGAAAAAAACGACTGTTTGTCCAAACCTTAGACCAATTTCATTCCTCAATATAGATACAAAACTATATGCCAAAATAATAGCAGACAGACTTAGCTCAATCCTACCTAAATTCATACACTACAATCAATCAGGCTTTATTAAAGGGAGGCAGGGTTCGGATAACTCCAGGCATCTCTTGAATGTGATACATCACATCCAGGAGGAATTGAGCGAGGGCCTTCGATAGACTTAATTGGTTATACATGGAGGAGGTGATGAGGAGGTTCAGACTCCCTCCCCCACTTATCACAGCAAAAATGGCATTGTACAACGGCCCTGCAGCTAGTGTTTCCAATGCAGCTTTATCTCCCTCCCCCTTTGCCATCACGAACGGGACCAGGCAGGGTGTGCCCTGTCCCCCCTTTTGTTTATTTTATGCCTGGATCCCCTAGCTCAGCTCATTCGAGAATCCCAAGACATCACAGGCATTTCAATCGGAGACCAAGCCCACAAACTCTTGCACTTCACGGATTACATCATCCTAACACTTTCTCGTCCAGAAAAGTCACTTCCCCAGCTGATAGACTTATTAAATACCTTTGGAAAAGTGTCCTACTACAAACTTAACACGGGCAAAACACAGGCGCTACCTATTAAAGTACCTAGAAGCAAACAGACGATCCTCGCTAACCTCATCCAGTTTGACTGGAGAGAAGAATATGTAACTTACCTAGGAGTGAAAATAACCAAATCAATAACAACACTAATGCAACACAACCATATCGCAATGCTGGCAACCCTACAACAATAGCTGGGGGGTTGGAGAGATGTACGAATCACATGGCTGGGCCACATAAATGCCCTTAAGATGATGTCACTACCTAAATTACTATACATTTTCAGAATGCTCCCTATACAAATCCCGAAAAGCTACTGCGAGAAGGCACAAAAACTGTTTATGGATTTCATCTGGTTTGGAGGCAGGGCCAGAGTAGCGAAGGAGGTGTTACAGAGACCATTTCGAGAGGGGGGAATGGGGGTACCTCAGGTATGGGCATATAGCAGAGCGGCTTTACCAGCTCAAGCAATCAACCTCCACGCACCCCACGGAATGCTAAGCTGGGTAGACATGGAACGGAAGCAAATGCCAGGGGATTCACTGATAGTTCATATGTAGACACCCGCTCCCTGAGACAATCACACCCCCTCCTATACCCAACGACAAGAGCGTCGCTGGATGCATGGTCAGCCTTCCACATGAGACACTCACACTCTAAATTTCACAGATTGGCGCCACTGGCAGCCCTAAAAGCTATATCTCCATGGCTTTCAATCCGACAATAGGAAAACAGGGGAGTCAAAAGTTTGTCACATTTGATCCTAGGGGGAGAGCTAATCCCATTCCCGACCTTGCAGAAAACATTCCAACTACCATCAAAACTAATGCTCTCATACCTGCAACTCAAAAGTGTAATACTAGAACACGTAGACTATGAAGTGAAGGACACTACTCCTATAGAAAGTGACACATGGCTACTGCTGGCTTCATGCTGGACATCACCGCTGAAACCCAAACTCCTCTCTGGCTGCTATAGAGCCCTCAATGCCCCGGGATCCCGGAACCCCATGACACTAGAGTCGCAGTGCGAAAAAGAAACTGGTAGAGTAGTTTCACAGGAGAGGTGGATAAGGCGTTACCAGGTGTTACGCGCTGATAGAGGCTCACCGCAAGCTTATTTATCGCTGGTACCTTACCCCTGTCAGACTGAGCTGCATGTATGGGAGTGCGTCAGCGGTATGCTGGCAATGTGGCCTAGAAAATGGCACCATGTCCCATTTAACTTAAACAGTTATGGACCAGGGTGGTAGAGCTGGTGGCGGCACTTCAGCTAGACCCAGAGATA